ATGTCATCTCTCAACTCTGTATTCTTCTCTTCAAGTTTCTCTTCAAGTTTCTTTTCAAACATATCCTCCATTTCCATTCTAATCTGTCTAGCATTGTCCTTTAATGCATCTTGAATATCTTTCAGTGTAAGTGCTGGGATTGGGGGGGAGGGCGGAGGAGTCTTAGATTTTGGCTGCTGTGGTGTTTGAACAGCTGGAGTGGAGATTGTACTTTTCTGAGGAACAAAAGTTCCCACACGCTTAGAAGCCATTTTACTTCTCTCCTTCTTCTCTTATACTTTCACTTATAAACATAAGTTAAAATCTTGTAAAGATCATATAAAAATCTTATAAAGTCTTGTAATCACCTCAAGCAGTGGTAGAAACAGAAAGCTTATCCAACCAGCTCAAAGTAACAAAATCTGTTACCATAATAATCCAAAAGAAAGTCTCCAGAAAGTGAAAGTCTCATATATTTTTAATTTAAAAAAAAACAGAAACGCCCATCCGCAGCCATATTCTTCTTCTTCTTCCAGTTAACATAAAAAACGAAGAAGATACTTTAATTCTAGAGTTAAGGTTTCAGTCCAAACAATTTTTAAATCCTCCTGGTAGGCTCTGTCTGCCTGTAAAATTCAACTCACGCTTTCCTGGAAAGGCAGAGGCTGAATCCGCGTCTAGCTTCGTTTCAACGAAGGCAGCCTGAAGCACGGAGAAATCCCCGACTCCGGCGGAACTCACCTTAAGCCCTCACAGCTGTCAAAATGCGACGGCTAGGAAGCTCTACCCCTATCAGGGAAGCTCACCCCTTCCCCTTTGCCCAGGGAAGGGGATTCCGAGCCGCGGAACAGCTGTTCCTGCGGCTCTTATGTGTCTTCAGGGCGGACAGCTCACAGAGGAGCTGCCATCGGCGCCGTGATTCAAACCGGAAGCCTCTTTTTTCAAGTAGATAGAACTTGGAGATGGTTTGACCTGGTGTAAAGAAACATCTTATTTTCTAGTCTAGTCTAAAAGATTAATGCTACATCTGTTTTACGTCAGAGAGATGAGGTATAATTGCTTCCATTCTGTTTTCGGTCCAAAACTTTGTGTGTTTTTTTTTCCAGAACTGAACTCCAAGGAAAACAATTCTGGAGCTAAAGAATACAAACTGGCCATGAACCTTCTTTCTATGTCTCTGGTTTGTGATTTAAAAAATCCATTATTAATATCAAACCTGCAATGAATTGCCTGAAGCCACCTTGTTCGTTTTCGGTTGCCACAAGATTGGGGGGGAGGAGATATGGAAAGTTCTATGCTAGCCTAAACAATTCTCTGTCCCGTGGGAACCAAGGACATTTCTATTCTTTCAGCTGGGGCGCTGAGCCTAATGTCAGAAAGCCTGCCAAACTATTCTATTGGGAAATGTAGCTGATTGCATAGATTTGGGGTGGGAATTTTAACTTTGTAATAGTTACTTTTGGAGGGAACTTTAGTCTTTGTTACACTTTTGATCATGCTGATACTTTGTAGCCAATAAGCATGTTCTTAGAGGAAAACTCAAGCCTCAAAGTTCTGCTTTAATTGGTCTCATCTATCGGAACCTTGAAATTAATTTATGAATAAAGAAGTTAAAATTACTATGGCACTTTTTAAAAAACACCTGAAGTATGACACCTGGGAGCAAGACTCAGGGAATAACCAATTCACTGTTATGCACATCAGGCACTGAAACTCTCATTGCTTGTCTTTACCATAGTCACTATGAAAAATCATGGCTGATTATGTTTACAGGTAATCCCCAATTTATGACCACAATTGGGACTGGGATTTCAGTTGTAAGTTATGACAGTCATAAGTCAAGGCATTCACACTGCACCTAATTTTACAGCCATTTTGGGATGGTCATTACAAATTGTGTTTTCTCCCCAAAATGGCAAAAAATGCAAAAAATTGGCAAAATTGTTGCATATTGCAGCCATATAACTGTGGGATGCTGCTATCAGTCATGAATGTGAGTTGGTTGCCTAGCACCTGAAATGTGGTCATGTGACTTTAAGGCAGGTGTGACACAAGATTTTATGTTGTCTGGAAATGCTTCATAGGCTATATAGACCCTCTCTGAGGCCACTGTAAATAAACTGTTCTAAGTTGAGGACTATGTGCAATTTATTTGGAAGACAATATTAGATCATTTTGTTTCCTTAATAATTAGCAGTCTTTCTTTTTCTTATTTTGATTTTCTTGAAGTAGTGTATCTAGTAGATCCTTATATTATAACCTTATAACAAAATAGAAGTGAAAGGGTGGACACATATTGTTTTTTCCAATTGTAGGTGTATATAGTTTGGGGCTATACTAGCACTTTTTGAATCATTAAATAGTCAAAGAATACATACAGAATATTGATGTGTAAATATATGGACATAAACTTATCCCTAAGATGTACACTAAATCAAATATTTTAGAAGCAACCAGAAGTTATCAGCCTTAATCTCAGTTTTTGCAATAAAAAGACTGCATGAAAAAACTTCTTCCTAGCATCATTCCTGTGCTATGGCAGCCTCAAATAACTTCTAGATAAAGTTATAAAATAATTAAATTTAAAGGAAAGGTGAAGAGAGTTTTGAGTAGTCTTAGTATTATATCATTAGTATGAAAAGTCACCATGATAACAGAGCAAAATTATCAGTAATGAAATGATTAACAGCTAGCACACAAGATAATGTTTTAGGTAATTATTTGTCATTTCAGCAAAATAACAATGTGGACATAGAATCAGCATTTTATAGTTCAAATTAGATGTTAACTCTACAAATATCTGTTTCAGTCCCTGTCAAGAAAACAGAGATACTTTCTGGATCAAAACTGTGCAGTATATGGAAGCAACCAGTGGTGGGATTCAGCCAGTTCGCACCACTTCGCAGAACCGGTAGCACCCACCTATTCTTCATTTCACAAGTAAAATAAAGGTGTGTGAATTCCAAAGTGCTAATATCCAGTTTAACTCTAATTTCAATAATGGATTTCATTGGAAATGGAAATGTCACCTATATCTTAATAGAATTTAACACATACCCATGTTTAGGCAAAATTCTTATGTATTTGTCAGTTCTTTTGTCAGTTCCTTTCATCCCTTTGACAAAACTAAAAAAATAAAATGTTTATCAGGGGGCAGTAATTAAAAGTTTTACTGCTTAGTACTCAGAAAACTCTGAAAAATAAAAGCAATAATAAACTGGGAAAAACTGCATTTTTATAAGCAGTCCTGCATCTTAAAAAATATTGAATGTTTCTGCTAACATTTCATTCCCACTGTACCTGAATCTGGATGCCAAGGGTCTGTCGTAGAAGACATTGGTTGGATGGTTTGTGGATTTGCTCCGCAGTTGGATTCTACAAGTTCTCCTTCTGTGTAAATGTGAGAAGAGATATTGGTCTGTCTCAAGGCTGCCTTGAGTGGAGTAATCTGGTTGAACTGCACACGTGACAGGCAACCAGAAAATCCTCGTGTGTTATATTTATCTATGTCTTGATCAATCTTTCCAAGTTCTAAAAGGAAAAAACAAACAACAGAAATGAGTTTGTAACAATTTGTCTAGCACAGAAGCTTCATTGGTACTAGGATCTTGTAAAGATATTGTTTGTGAATGCAGTCAAAATACTTTCTATCTCTTGGAATTTACCTTAGTATAAGCCCAAGAATGAATCATTCTACATAGGGGTGTCAAACTGCTGGCCCGCGGGCCGGATGCGTCATGCCAAAACCGCACCTACCCTATTGCCGGCAATGGGAAAAAAGTTGTAATGCGTAACAACCTTGCTTTTTTCTTTTTATCTATCCTTTTATTTTTTATTTTTGAAAATAGCATATATGCCTTAAAATGCAGAAAGATATATCTTCTATCAAACAAGATCAATGAAAAACATAAAAATAATTATTAAAAACATGAAAACAAATAAAATGAACTTTTTTAAAAACCAAAAGTTTGCTTCATTTTTATTTTTAAAATGTTTGGAATGCAGATATTTACAAAGGATAATTTTACTTTTAAAGCAAATCAGTTGATGTGACTGCCTTTGCTATAATGATTAATCATGCATAGGAGATTTAAAATATGCAACAAACTATATTGTCCAGCTTGTTTAGGACCCTGAGGCATCATTATGCAGCAACAATTTAAACTGAGGCATCATTATGCAGCAACAATTCAAACTTTCATGATTGATAAAAGCAGAGAGACTATATGGATGACAGACTTCTGAAGTTGATGTCTTTTTCTCATTTCTATCCAGTAAATAATGTGCTAATGGGATTTTCCCATTTAAAACAGCAAGCATACAAAGAGAAGAACTATCCATCAGAATAAATTCATTCTTAATTAAATAAAAACCATAATACAAAGGCTGTTCTTCGTAGTTGAATTACAATACTACACATCAATTCCTGAGCCAGCAGGAATCTAACAGCACAACATTCACTATAGTGATGTCTATTCTGTTTATACCCTATCCTGTTTACCTTAACACTGGCAAGATTCTGCCAAATTGAACCAGACTGACAGAGTGTGATGTTAAGGGTTACAACCTATCATTAATGTGTTAAGAAAGTGCTCCTGAAGAGAGGATGGTCCTGATTTTTATAGCCTTGAAGAAGTTGGTAAACAGTTTGGTCACTTGTGCAAAAGTGGAGTCACTTGTGCAAATATTTGTTCTTTCTTTATTATGTCAAATCAAATAAATCCTTTGCTATGGTTTTTGTGCCAGAAAGCACAATAATAAAATACATAGGTTGTAATTATTAAAAAAAGTGTTAAAACAAGCAATAAAATTATATAAAATATATTATTATAGTACAAATAACAGTGGCAGCGAACAAAATTTGTGCTAAACCTCAAACATACGATGTATATAACAAATAATGAGCAGCCTGGAAAGATATCTCAGGATTCTGGTCAGATAGAAGTAGTGACAGATAGCAATAGCAATAGCACTTAGACTAATATACTGCTTCACAGTGCTTTACAGCCCACTCTAAGTGGTTTAGAGAGTGAGCATATTGCAGGTCCTGGGTCCTCATTTTACCGATCTTGGAAGGATGAAAGGCTGAATCAATCTTGAGCTGCTCAGAATCGAACTCCTGAAGTGAGCAGTGAGTTAGTCTGCAATACTGCATTCTAACCCTGTGGCCCCATGGCTCAAATAGGCATGGTGCTCCCTACCAGATAGTTCATTATTGTATCATTATTATATTTCCAGTTCTGCATTTTGCCTAAAAAATATTTCAAGATGAAGAGAAGAATGTGTCATTTTGTGATTGATACTTCAAGTTTGTACACACAGTGAGTGATGTTTCCTGGTGCTTCTAATTGCAGTCTCTCAGGGAAGGATGTCAAAATCCAAAACAGCACTAGTATTCCGTCTCCGGGCTTCTTTTGTCCCTTCCTTACAGGAGCAGAAAAATTAAACTTTAAACTTAAAGCAACTAACTTTTCATGCTCAGAAAATACAGCCCTTCTTTTGCCACCACTTGTTCTCGTCTCTATTACCAACCAGCACATCCTCTCGCCCAGTGGTGGGATTCAGCCGGCTTCACTGGTTTGGTATTTTTTTTTTTAGTTTGGTGAACCAGTTATGATAAATCCGTGTTTTCCAGAACACGTCTGGTTTTCATTCAACTTCTTTTCAGGTGGGAAAAAAAAACCTTCCCAAAAGTCCAAGAGAGGAGTGATGAAAACCAAATGGAGGCATGATGCCTTCAATCATGTCACTCAGGTAAAAACTAGGTGGTCCCTGTCAGAGGTAATTTCAGGAATAGAATAGAATAGAATAGAATAGAATAGAATAGAATAGAATAGAATAGAATAGAATAGAATAGAATAGAATAGAATAGAGCTGGAAGGGACTTTGGAGGTCTTCTAATCCAAGCAGGAGAACCTGTACCATCTCAGACAAGTGACTGTCTAGCCTCTTTTTAAAAATCTCTAGTAATGGAACATCCACGATTTCTGGGGGCAAGCTGTTCCACTGATTAATTGTCCTCATTGTCAGGAAGTTTCTCCTTAATTCCAGGTTGCTTCTCTCTTTGAAAAGTTTCCAACCATTGTTTCTTGTCCTGCCCTCTGGTGCTTTGGAGAATAACATGGCACCCTCTTCTTTGTGGCAGCCCCTCAAATATTGGAATACTACTATCATGTCTCCCCTATTTTTTTCCTTTAGACTAGCCAAACCCAAGTCCTGCAGCCATTCTTCGTATGTTTTAGTCTCCCGGACTTTGATCATCTTAATTGCTCTTCTCTGAATTTTTTCCAAACTCTCAATATCTTTTTTTTGATATGGTGACCAAAATTGGCTGCAGTATATTCAAGGTGTGGTCTTGTGGTACCCCACTGCTTACCTCTCCATGTGGATGTAGTGCCATTGAGGATTACTCGTTGAATACGGTTTGCCAGCCAGCTACAGTCTATCTGGTGGTGATGTTGTCTATTTCACCTTTTTCTAGCTTGCCAAGGAGTAGGTTGTGGTCTACTTTATCAAATGCCTTACTGAAGTCTAAGTATACTATGCCCACTGCGTTTCACTGGTCTATTAGTTTAGTCACTTTGTTGAAGAATGAAATAAGATTGGTTTGGCATGATCTGTTTTTAACAAACCTGTGCTGGCTATTAATTATAACTTTGTTTGCTTCTAGTTGTTCGCAGATCTGTTTTTTGATTATCTTTTCTAGGATCTTCCCAGGTATTGATGTTAAACTGATTGGTCTATAGTTTACTGCAGGGCTTTTCAACTGGTGGTACGCGTACCACCTGTGGTACTTTGCCACTTGGCAGGTGGTACGCGACTGCTAGCCAAGTGTAGCAGGGGAGGGGAATGAGCCTAAGCAGCCTGAGGGAGAGGCAGCTGCAGCTGCATGACTGTCTGGACTGGGCAAAAGCTCCAGGAGCCAGCAGGGCTCCAGCTGATTGGCTTCAGCTGATTGGTGTTTCCGGAAGCAGCTCAGAGCTGGAGGTGAACTAAAGAAAAGGGGGGAGGAGAGGAGAGGCTATAAAAAGAGGTGGTTTGGGTGGGGGAAGGGAAAAAAAGACAACAGGAAAGGTTTAATCCCTTTAAACAAATGAAATTAATATTACCCCCTTTAATTGAGTGTGTCTATGGCTTTTAGAAAGTTTTCTTTGAAGGTAAATAGGCTTAATTTAAAGCTAAAGCTGTTTGCAATTGCCAGAGCCTTTCAATCTAGGATTGCAACATTGTGACACCTGACACGCCTGAGGCAGCTTAAAAGGGGGGGGGAAACGGAGGCTTATTTTGTGAGCCTTTCTTGCTTTGTACTTGATTCTTGTATCCTTAAGCGTACAGGGAAGGGATTGGGGGGGGTGCATTCTTACTGTGGAAGAGCTGAGAAGAAGAAGGGCCGACCAGCTAGCTAAGGAGTCTACAAACTTAGCAACTTTAAGACCTGTGGACTTCAACTCCCAGAATTCCTCAACCAGCCATGAGGGCTGAGGAATTCTGGGAGTTGAAGTCCACAAGTCTTATAAGTGCCAGGTTTGAAGACCCCTGAACTAGCTGGTAGTGGTGCATATTAATAAACATGGATAAATTCATCATACATTTGTCAATGCAAAGGGAAAGTGATTCAGCAAAGGAACAGCCACCGAAGAAATTAAAACTGGTACTTTTTTTCTTTTTTTCTAGTTTGTAATATTTTATTAGATTATAGAATAAAATACAAAAATACAAAAGCAAATAGTAGGACACAGTGGGGAGGAAAAAGGGGGGAAAGTGAGGGGGAGAAGGGAAAAAGAAAAGACTTCCTCTGTTGCAGTAGAAGGAAGCATTAACATTGAAACTCAATTTTTTACTTTTCCATAATATTATAAACTAGCCATTTCTATAACAACAAATGAATCTAATCAGTAAAACCCAAAATCCCCCCCTTTTTGTAGTCATCAAGTTTTTCACACCTTGCTAAGCACTGGTGGTACTCAAATATTGTCATGTCCTAAAAGTGGTACAATCTGTGAAAAGGTTGAAAATCCCTGGTTTACTGGGTCTGTTTTTTCTCCTTTCTTGAAGATGGGAACCACATCAGCCCTTTTCCAATCCTCAGGTACTTCCCCGGTGCTCCAGGATTTATGAAAGATGTGGTGCAACAGTTCTGAGATGACATCTGACAGCTCTTTCAGAACTCTGGGATGTAATCTGTCGGGCCCCGGTGATTTATATTCGTCAACGTTGGATAGGTGTTCTCTTACCATTTTCTTGCTTATTTTAATTTTTGTTTCTAATTTGTCTTTTGCAGTGGTTTTTTTGGTATATTGGGTTTCTTTTTGTGTGAAGACTGATGCAAAGTATGAGTTAAGCAGCTCTGCTTTCTCCCTGTTGCCTGTTATTTCCTTGCCATCTTCTCTCTTTAGTGGACTTACAGTTTCCTTGATTTTTTTCTTGTTGTTAATATAGATGTTTCAGCTCTCTAGTTTCCTGATTGGTGCATATGGGAAAGGGGACGAGGCACCAAGTATTAGCTGGAATTGTGGCTCTGGAACTTTTTC